CCCGTGCGCAACCTTTTTAGTGACAGGAAGGGGGGGGGGGGGGGGGGTCATCGCCGAGGAAGGTGCGCGACGTGAAAGTGATGAGAGCGGCGCTTGATGCATTGTGTTCACGCGTTCATGACGTATTTCCGTTCGTTTCAATTTTGACTTCAGGGCGGTTTGGGCCAACACTTCTCGTTCAGTTACAAGCGGAAAACTTACGATGTTAGTTTATTCGAATCACACGTTGGCATGCGTTCAGATGTTCCTGAACGTAGGCCTAGTGGCACATAATGAAAGGTATCAACAGCGTAGGTATAAATTCTAAACGAAGGTGATGTCATAGTTCCACTTAGGGTGCACAGAGAAGGGAAGATTGCCGTAGGCTTTGACCTAGTCAAACCGAAGGGAAAGAGATTGACGTGGGCAATTATGAAAATGGGAATGAAAATCCCTACTCAGCATCTGGCAGTCGTAATAAGCAGAAGTTTGCAATTTGAAAATTAGAAGATGTCTTAGGGATATTTGTTAAAGAGAAATTTTTGGAAGTAGTCCTAAAGCTGCTGGATTGAATATCATGCTTTTGGTCATGTTAAATCAATGGAAAAACATTGACTGTAGGATTTGAAACTTTTTGTGCAACATTGCAAGATTTCATCACGCTTTAATTGCAATGGGACCCCCAAATTTTTCTGAGTGACCCTTTCTTATAAGACTTGAGAGTCCTGAAGACCCTTAAGGCAAGAAAATTAGCGCAAGCCCTGTGCAATACGCATTGGAACTCAGGTACATGGTGTAGTAAAAATCTTCTGGTTATTCAATGGGATTCACAGATCATCAGCTCCCTTGGGAGGAAAGAAGAGATTAGGGAGTTCTTGGAGAACATCCGCACAGACCCACAGTTTGCCTTTGACAGTCCAGATGAGCTGTTGGATGGATATCGGAAGATCCTCGAGAAGGACATAGAGCCAAAGCTCCCAAGCATTGTCCTACATGTACCCAAGCTGAAGATTCAGTGAGTTGATGGAAAGGAGACAAGAGAGAAGTTTTAGTATGATGTGATGATGGACATACAAGGTGGGAAGTCCTTAGCTGGTTCTTGGTGCAGTTAGGTAGACCAACCATCACTGCATATTTCTCTGTAGAAAACTCAGTATTGAAGAGGTTCCCTAATCTATTGCTACTGGGCAATTGCTTGTATGGAATATTTAAAATGGGGTCTGTCTATGAGTTTGGGCATCACCATCTTGATGTGAAATCAATTTTTCCTCTATATTTTATCAGCCTCAAAACAAAGGAGATACAGGAAGGATGGGAATTTTATACTAAATATATGGTTAGATCGTACTGTTTGAGCCACTAACCTGTAGCATAGACACAAGGGAGAGGATTTAATTACATCCTACCTGTCCGGTATGTGATAGGGGACTATTGGAACATTAGATTGATTCTGTTCGGACATTTCATAAAACATTCTTAGGATTCTAGCTCCTGAAAACATTAGATCCAATAGTATGGTAGATACTGGTCTCGGCCACAAATGATATGTTATGATCATTTTGGTAAATCATTATGACTATTCAGAATTATCACAGTGCCGTCTTATATTTGGGTGGTAGATAGAGTCTGAGGAAAGCATCCCAGTATTAAAAATGAAATTCATTTCTGTAGGATCAAGCCTTCTCTGGAGGATGAAGGAACAGCTGCATTTTACATTGCTGGATCACATGATGGTAGTCGACCTGGGATCTGTTACATCAACGTAACTGATTACAAGTCACAGTATGAGTCCTTTGTTTTCTTCAGAAGTTATAGTGTTAATTTTGTATATGTGGAGATGATTGGATGTGTATATGGGTTGCAGAGATCTCTGTGTGCTGAGAGTGCTTCTCATGCTTTTATGTTAAGTCAATTGAGAGTGAAAATGATTTTTTAAAATTCTGTTGATCATAGGTTAAATTCATTATTGAATAAGGTTTCCACTCTCATCCTTCTTTCATGTGATAGTGAGTCTTACTTTTTAACATACTAATTTGCCTCCATATGATTAGACTAAAGACATATGGTTAGAATAAAGTGATAAGTCCACTCTTTATATCAAGGATTACCACATATACCAGGAAGATAACTAGTTGTAGGCAGTACAAATATGAACCTATGGTTGGGGTTTCCAGGCCAAAATTTGAGATGGTGGCTCTGGCCCTGCATGAGGGGAATCCAGGTCATCATCTGCAAAGCACTCACCTCCTCGAGATGGAGGGCCTTCCTGCATTCCGCAGGTACCTGGAGGATCGACAGTACGGCATCATGCCATCCAGGTTCACCTTCTACACAGCTTACATCGAGGGCTGGGGCCTCTACAGCGAGCGGCTTGGTGATGACCTCCACCTCTATGATGACCCTTACATGAAGTTTGTTGCCAGTTTCTTCTTGAGAAAACCATGTTCATTGCATATTTAAAAGACATAGACTATGTCTAAATGTTATAGACTGGATGTTATTCTCTGGATATCTGATGCATGAAGTTAGCCAATCACATTATCCAATCCAATTATCCAGTTGGGTGCTACCGAGCACCGAGCACATACAGTGCTCAGCTTCAGCAAAATCATTATTTGAATCCATTGACCTATGTTGTGTGACTTCTGTAACACCTTATTTCAAAGCATAAATGACAGCAATGAAGATGACTTCATCATGCAGAATGCAGAGAAAACAAAGGGTCATAATGGTATAAATTTTCAATCAAAACTTCTGCCAATATTAGTATTCCCAATTACTCAGTATTGCCCATATACAGTAAGTATTCCATACACTGGCCAAATCTGCTGCTTATGCTCACAGTCCTGCTCAGACTTTTCATCTCATCCAGTTGTGCAACCCAGAGGTGGTACAGGGAGTTTAAACCTCTCCCACACCCTCAAGGCTGTTGCTTTTGATAATTTCTCTTTATTTTTTATGCTTTTCATGGTGGAGTGTCATGACAACTTGAAGATTGCTCCACCTATTTGCAGAGTTAAAACCAATCCACTTCATCCAATTGCAACTTGTGATTTGTAGAAATAGTAGCTGCTACTGCTACATATCGCAAGCTGCCTTTGATCTCAGGAACCTCTCCATTAGAGGCATGTACCTAGTAACCTTTATTGCTGGCAACTCTGAATTTCAAGGAGGGAATTTGTTGCTATACAATGTTGTAAGAACTTGAGCATCTGAAATTCATAATGCGACAGATCAGGGCATGGATTTGCATGCATTTCTTTCATATAGGTCAGAGTTTCTTATCTCCATTTTCATTCCAATTTTGTTTCATTTTTAGAAGCAAAAAACTTGTATTGATTTTTTTTGTTGTTTTCTTTTGGTTGACAAGGTTTACTAATCTCCACATCCTCTTACATGAATGAAAAACATGCTAAGGAGCTGCATTTAATAAAATATTTTGCTTGAGTCCTTGAATTTTTTCCTGCCTTCCAAAAACAGGGATTTTTCCCTTAGCTTTTCTGTGGAATGGAAGGGAATTCAAATTTGGTAAGAAAAATGTTGCTTGTCATTCTATATTGGTATTTATACATATACTAATGCAGAATTGATCTCAGGATCAATTTTTTACTGTCCATGCCTCATTTTTTCAAGTTATACTCTGTTGACTGACCGTGAAGAAAAAGTTAAGGGAAAGACCAATGAATGAAAAGTCTCCCCTCCATAAGTTCAGGCCTGATTATGCAATAGATGTTCTAGCAATTTTGTAGTGCAATGTCAGCCAATGGCCGATAGACCCAGAAATTGACCAACCAACCAGTGCCAATATTACCTTGCACTGGGTCTACTTTTTTCCAGGTTCGGGATGCTGTCGATGGATGCGCTCCGTGCATCCCGTCTTGTGGTGGACACCGGACTGCATGCATTCGGTTGGGCGCCCGAAAAGGCAGTGAACTTCATGCTGGCTCACACTGCTGCCTCTAAGCGCACCTGTGAGGTATGCTCATCTGCATCCCTCACCTCTTTTTTTCTTGCATTTACTCAGCTGAAAATAGTGGAAGGCACAGGTGGCTGTAATACATAATATATAGTACCACCTGGTACAAGAGACTCTTGTCCCATGAATGTGCCATCCTCTGGAATCCCATCTTTCCCCCCATCCCTTCAAAGATTCAAGCAACCTTTACCCTTGGGAGACTCAATTCAAGTCTCAATTCGCTTCAATTTGTCATCTGGGTCCATGCTACCCAGGTTTGGTCTTCACCATGGGGGTTATTTGAAGTTTCACATCTGGGTGCTCATGGGTTTCCCATCCCTAACATGCTGGGGTCTGCAATTGGAAATATATGAAATTGAACCTGGGTCCCCTGCCATGGGAACGGCCGACCAAGCCATTAACCTGCCCGTAAATACCCAACATCTTGTCGAATTCTTCCTCTGCCTCTCCTTTTTATCCGATAAACAAGTACATTTTGCAATGAAGCATGAAATATCCCTGGCTTTCTTTCTTGGATATGTCTATCAGGCATTTGATGAAGGGGATGCTGAATAATTTGTGAATGCCAGTTTGTACATCCCTTTGCATCAACTTCTCTCTGGGCAAAAAAAAGGGAAAAGGGGTTGGTGGTGCACTTGCGTGTGCCCCAATGAGCCTAATCTTTTTTTTTCATTTTGAGAAAAAATATTATTGAAGCTCTGAGTGAATGATTCGAGTCCCATCTTTAAGATTTTTTCTGGGAACTTTTAAATTGTTTTTCATGGCACAGCCTCGGCTAAAAATGTATATACCGGATGGCGCAAAAAAAAGCGTCGTGTTTGACGCCTTATAAAATCCGTTGTGGGTGATCTAGGTTCGTGATATGACGTTGAAAATAGGACAAAATTTGTTTTCTGAAAGTTTCATATACCTAATTTGTCTGAATAAGTATCGACAGTCGCTCAAAGTGGAGTCATAAATTAGACCTTTCCGCGCGCGAGGTGGATGGAGTTTCAGGACCGCTCGAATGATTTCTCTCCCCTGACGTCATAAATACCGCTATTTATGCCAATTCTCATCGTAGTATTCTACACATCGTAGAATAGTACTACTTTCGTACATCG